TTATATTCCTATAAATAATTTATAATGCAGTTGAGAGTTATCTGAAATATAATTTATATAGACCATTTAAAATGTTRGTAATATTAAAATTCTATAAATAATTTTCTATTAGTGTATTATTGTTTTTACAACTATATTTAAAACGTTTGTTACCTATAAGCTATAAAATAGTACGAATTTAAAATAAAATATGTTTTTATTGTAGACATATTATGGAAGGAGTTTTATTTTGTTTCTTCCTCTCTTAAACTTAAAACTTTTACATTTTTAAATCAGGTATTTTTTGGACGTACCTACATAGCAATTGGACGCATTATAAGAAATTATATATGGATTTGTAGAGAATACAACATTATTATCGATTTCTTTGAAAAAAGGAATCGTATATTGAATCATTTAAAAATTCCACTATTCGGTTGAAAAGTAAATACTTGTTGTTTGGGATTTGTAGAAATCCGTATAGATTGGCCACAGTTTTACCATCCTTATATTTCATTTGTGTGAACATGGCCATTTGCTGTTTAATTTTTTTCTTAAACGCCTATTGTATAATCAGCTTTAAAGTTGATTTTAAATTGAAAAACTCGATAAGCAGGTATGCACTATGCAGGTATTGTATCCGTTGTCATGGTGTTTGWTTAATATAATAAATAGCAGGTAAATATAAATAAGATTTCATTACATTAATAAATTATTAACKAGTGTTGTAATTATATACCAATGTCTAATATATTTTAGTTGATACCTATGATATATCCATTATAATATATTTAAATTATTTTAAAGTATTCAGCATAAAATATTACACAGCAATTCTTTCTCTTTCTCTTTTTTTTTTTGTTAAAAAATAAACACGTMTTTTATATAAATGGAAGCATTTACCTATGTTAAGCTTAAGTAACTTATAGAAATGCTCRAATGCATGAATAATAAATTATTATATTTCTATAATATTAAAAAGTTAAAATAAATAGTTTAATCAGGCAACCTGTAGTATTAGAGTTCTCCAGTGAATTTTAAGATGGACAGAATAATACTATAAGCGAAAAGCACTTTTTTTTGTATAAAAGAGAGGTAAACTTTCAGCTCGCAAAAAATATTRAAGGGCTGTATACAGTTGGCGAGCGATGTGTGCAGGAGGCATATATGCCTTCAATAGTTATATTGACATTGGTATTGGTAGTGGTGTTCTATTTCCGAATATGCGTAAAATAAAATATGATGTGCTCATCATAATCGTGTAGTTACGCTCTTCATATATAATATGTCGCTCCTTCCCCTTACTGCATGAATAATGTTCCTATACGCTACTCCGTTATAGCATGTTTGCTTAAGAAACGTCAGCGTATACACGGTCACACGGAGGTTATATCAAATCGATTTTTACGAAAACTTKATGTAGACGTCGCCATCGGAGTTATTCACGGGCAATTTTTGCACCATATTATATTATTATTTTGGTCGCGGTCGAGGTTTCCGAATGCATAACCTTAAAACCGTCTGCCATCGTAGTAATGCGTCTTCGGATCCCCGCACCCCAACTGCTGGTGGTGAAAKGGGGAGGGGGAGGAGAGTGATAGAATGATAAATGATCTATAGTACACGTCGTCTCGGCAGTCGGCAATGTTTCCGCGTCTATTTATAGGTAACGGAACCATGCGTACGCACACATTATTATGCATGTGTAKACTATACTCGAATACGAGGTGTTCGTAAAGTTCCGGACACCTTGACGTATTGATCCATATATTAGGTACAATCGAATTTGGTATCTGCGAATAATYGAAATTGAAACAATAACGCGAAATAGGTTTATTGAACATTCTACACGTCATTCTGTGGTCGGTCAGTCGCCTTCATAAAATCATAACACACACACAMTCAATAACACGTCCACCAAAGCACCTAATTTAAGTTCCAATACGATTATTTTGTTTACAGAGTGCAAATAAATGTCCAATTCAAAAGTTCAAAATAATTCGATGTAGGTATAGTATGTTTGAATTTGAATTTAAAAGTACTGATTTGAAAACGAGCGTCGAGGATATACATAAATTATAATGTATTTCGTGCAGTAACAGTGAGTTCGAGTTACGTTTTCAGAAAAGTGTTAGTAATGCCACTGCAATGATGCTAGCCGACTGAGACGGCGTCTAATGAGTCCTATCAATGCCATTATTGTATTTTTTTTTTTTTAATTGAACTTATTGCAAATTCGTCTCCATACGCACTCCGCTCAGGGATTAGCCCTCCGGCTGCATAGACACGGCTCGCATGCTCTTCGCGTCACCCTGTACAAAATGCAATACCCGCACGCACGCACTACGCACACGCACGCCGATACACGCGCGTCAYGGCGGCGTTGCACCGCTGCGACGCGACTCGATGAAAAGCGCGTGCACCGCCGCACCAAAAAGCGCGTGCACCGGCGGACCCACGCGCACAACGTCCCGACGGGCGACGGTGGTGAATCGTCGTGTGCAGCGGCGGCCAGGCGCCGGGACGACTGTGCGAAAACCCGTGAAAACCGTCAAGTCGGTAACCGGCAGGTAAGCGTACCAACCGTATACGAGACATTATATTATTATTGAATTGTATATTATACACTGACTCGGTTTTTAAAACATTCAAAGTTCGAGTTTTTTATCATAATATATATTATGTATATTATATTATATTATTAATGTGTGATAATAACACTAAATAACGATCGTGATCCGTAGTCGGTGCCGATAATTAAACTTAATTTTATTATTCTATTATTATTAGCATATTATTTTATCGATCCCCCACGTGGTGGGTACACACTTACGTTTTTGACCTCGACGACGATGACGTATTATATACAGACTATMTTTAATATAATATTACGGCGTCTTTACCCCTAATCGCGGCGGTCATAATACCTATCACAGCTGACTACGAACTACCGCGGACGGATTTCAAAAATGATCGTCGTCGCGGTCGATCGACACTTTCAAAAGTCGTTCCGTCGGGCTGGTGCGTCGTCGTTGACTCCTCGCGAGTCTGTACCATAAGGACATTTTTCACGCAAACTCGAGATTTTCGAGCAATTTCAAAATTATTAATCGTTTACAGTAAGTCCCGCCCGACTATAGAGCACGTCGYAYGATATCGTTTTGTCTTATKCGATTTGYCGACGCACGAAATGCAAAAATATTGGCCGAGGTCTGCTGCAGTTTTCGACGCAGMCGTTATCTTCCGAACGTTTGACGTTTAGMCAGTCATAGGTAAGTTYAATTTAATATTAATATACATATTATACATCCCTATATTGTCATTTTTTTCGAATTCTTCTTCTTCTTCTTTTTCTTCTCCTCCTCCTCTTCCTTCTTCTTCTTCTTATTCACGGACGATATCGCAACAGTCGTGATAAATTATATTTTGTATACCGTTTACTGTCGAACGACACGGAAACCTTTCCGATTGATATTATATTATTCTATTTGGTCCTATGCCTGTGCACGAAATGGCATAGTTCATTATATATWAGTAAAAAAGTAATTGTGTTTGCTTTAAAATAATATCGGACGGGACATGTATTGTTTTTTTGTGCACATTACACGCCGTGYGACTGATTACCCGCCACGCAATACGCCTACCCATGTTATTATTATTATTGTTATTTGGTTTACTGYAGCTATTATTTACGTTAAACGAAATGGCAGAGCTTTGAAAAAATCGTATACGAAATCGTAGATACACTTGATACTTATATATATATTTTAAATCGTATACGCCGGTCGTAAGGGAATGTCTCCAGAAAAGAATATTAATAAATATGCGATACGATGTTTATATACCTACGAAAAAGATTGATGGATGAACCCGCTACAGACTTTTGATTTCGTGACGCGAGTACATTAACCTCGTCACCGTGCACTTGGTAACGGGCCATAGTTGTGTAATATTATAAAGTTGTTTTTTTTTTCGTACGTTTATTATTTGGGTCGCGAGCAGTTAAGTAACGAAGCGGCGTATAGTTTAGTTTTRAAATCTTCGGGTAACACTGCGATAAGACGGCCACTGTGTACGTCATGCAATATTATATTTGTATATGTACATATAGCCACATAAAACATATAATCAGATATACTTTAATACCTACATAAGACCACCGCACCAATCTGCATAAAATATTAATTTCTACTTCCTACGACGATATTTTTTTACCCCGGCGTCTCCCGTTGTTCAGATACGTAATTTTTGTGTATAAAGATAAAAACACCGCTCGATGACCTCGTGCAGGATACTTCTCTATGATGTATAGGTATACTAGCTGTTGTAGTGTAACACATAACAATATAATATATACATACGTGTWTAARATGTCCGAAGCACCAAGCACGACTGGCTGTGGTCTAAAATTTGTTGTATACGCGACGGGTCAATATAGGTCAATCAATGGATGGTTTCCTCAAGTCTCACTAAATTATTACACTCGCGCGCGCGCCAGTAGAATTTCTTTGAAACGCACGACATATTGATATTGTCTATACTTTACAGGTACCTATCTATTAACCTGCATATATTTTATGTGTGTCATAATTAGTTTAAACCGTCCGGCGCCCCAAATAATCACACTATTATATTATTATTGTTGTTGCTGTTTGCCGTGGTCGGACACGATAATAATATCATAAATGTATATATATATATAACATAATATATCTACTGCTGCGTCTGTATCATCATCCATACTATACAATCTGGCGCCACTTCCTCCAGGCCGCACGCGTTTTCCAGCGCTTTTATAAATACATTTCGTTGTTTTGTTTCACACGCACATCTGGACAATCTCTCGGCGCAAACGATAATGCCGATACGGAAAAAAACAAAATATATATTTATAACGCGAGTAGAAACAACAACAGACTATATAGGGCTCGTAACTATAATATATTATAATATCCCGAGATGCTCATCACTCGCGTAAAACGGCGTAAGAACGATGTCGCGTGTTCCGTCCGTTTCTGCGCCGCAGAGCTTTCGAAAGCGGTGACTTTGCACTAGTGTTTCGAATAGGTTCCCCAATAGCGTATATAAAGTGACATTAACTAATTTTCGTTCTAATTTTTGTGAAACGTCTATATTTTTTTTTTCCAGTATCGACACGCACAACATGGACGTCTTCTCGAAGGTCGGTCTGTTCCCGAAAAAACACCACCGCTGCATATCGTTGGAAAGGTAAGACACGTCACACGATATACGTGTCAATACTGACAAGCGTTCTAGGCCCCTTCCCMTTTCATYTAAGTAAATATCAGTGGGATCAAAGGGGCTGTTCGTCCAAATGTATTTGCTGAAATTAATGTATTGTCACGATTATAAAAAAATGTGTGTTAATTAACCATGACTATTTGAAAAACACGCATAAACGATTTTCAGTATTAACTAAGAATTTTAATATTCCAATAGGCAATAGGTAATCATAAATAGCACCTCGAGTACAAATTAAATTTGAAATGAAAATCTCAATTGCGCTTTGCGTTTCGAATTTTGAATCATCAAAATACATTTGAAACCATTAATATTATTCGAAGAAAAATATACATCCCGCCAACCCAACACCCGGAACGAGGAACAAGCTGTCATTTAATAGTTTTTGGTCACAATACTAACCTAACTAACCTAACCGTAACTGCCTAGTACTCTGTACTTGCGTTCTCATTATTTATTTTTTTTTTACGATTTCAGCGGCCAATCATCGACGAAAAAATCATGTCTGCAGAAAACGCCATCAGACCCACCGAGATTTTTTCCACGGCGGTACTCGACGCCAGAGCTGGCGATGAGAAGACACGCGCTCAGGCATCAACAACGCGACGACGGTGTCCCGCCCGGGCAACCGATATCGAACAAATCGTGTCAGACCGACATCTTGGGATTGGACAAATACTTGCAAAGGCCCACGGGTAATGTGAGCCCGAGAAACGATTCGGATGCAATCAGCTCGGAAGCAACGGTGGCGGCGTTGAGGGCGTACAAAAAGCCGTCGAAAAGGCCGAAAGTCCGGTCGGTGGCGGTACACTGCGAACGGCGGCGGCTATCGTTCGCGGCGTTCAAAGGGTGCCAAAAGTTCAAGCACATGTACAAGCGCAAGATATCGTTATCTCAACCGTCGTCGGCGACCACCTCGACGGACGACGGTCGGCGCCGGAACAGCAACGTATTGCCAAAACTGCGGCCGGATCGGACGGCAGAAACGGAGAGACCGGTGGCCGCCAACAAGGTGAGCGTGGCCGTCAAACTGCCCAGGATACCGACCAGGGACGCGCGACCGGAAACGGACAGACCCGACGACGGTGGTGGCGTAAGGACAAGACTGGCCAGACTGACCAGACCACAGTCGACGGGCAGTAGTGGTGACGGGAGTGGTGACCGGAAACTGGCGGCCGCGTACTTCCGGGCCAAATCGGCTCCGAAAATCTACTCGCCACGATTTAAAGCCACAGCACCACAGTCGTCGGACCACGAACCACCACAATCGACGGTTGAGACGAGCTACACGGCTGACACTACGCTCGACACAACGTTTAACCGACGACAGTCGGTCGACGCCACGTCCACGATGACGGCCACTACGGCGGCCGGCACTAGGACCGTATCAACGTCCACTACGTTCACCGAACCCGGTTTCCCGATAGTGTTCAGTTGCGAGAGTGTTCTCCGGCACCCGTTGGAAGGGGGTTATGTGTCACACACCGAGAGCCATCGATTCAGCGTGCACTACGTGTCGGCTGACGCCGCCAGCTCATCGGTAACGGCCACTTCGGATACTGATCGAGATAGCGGCCCATCGTTGGTGTTTACGTCAGCTGGCGCGTGCCAAAACGAACGATGCCTGACTGGCGAATCCGTGTCCGTCACACTGGGCGGAAAACCGGATAGCACGGCAGCGGCGTCCACGTCCACTACTGGTGTGACCGGCGAACGGCGTCTGGTCGTCGAACGTTGCGCCGACGTACATAGGTCGAATGACGACGTGGCGGCCGACCGTAGTGCAGGCGATATAGCAACCGACCACGGGACCACCGAGACGGCCAACAAACAAGGTACCACCGATACGGCTACAGACCGAGGTACTAGCGAGATGGCTGCTAACCGTCGAACCTGCAAAACGGCCACTGACAGCGGAACCTGCGAAATGATGACCGCTGAAGACGATGAACAAATCGGTAGTGAACCACCACCGTCACCACCATCGCCGTCATCAACTTCGTCTCCGTCGTCGACTTCTTCGGTTAGGTACTGTTGGCCGGTGGACGAAAACCACAATCCATCGATCAACATTGCGAAAACCCTGGGAAATTCTAAATTCGATGTCGTACGGAAAACCGAAGAATTTTACATTTCGGTAAGAGGCGACGGTGCCAACGCGTTTGAAAAAGCTGCACCGCCGACGGCAGTCAATAAAACTATTGATACTTTGGGTGTGGCCGGTGGGGGAGAGGAGGGCCATGAGCTCGAATTGCACGCACGCACGGACGATGTTGACGACGGCATGCCATTACAATCCGACGAACGAAATTATGAGCGGTTGACACAAAACAATCAAATAATAGAATCCAGCCGTACCGTTTCGAATCAGTCGCCGAAACCCGACGACACGGAATCGGTGCTGGTGGGTCGACAAAACGATTTGGGACCAATCGAAGGCGATAGTACGCACGCAAACGTTGCCGAGCCTATTGAAGAGGAGTATCGTGGTACGACCAACTCCGAAACCACTGTTACAGAACCGCAGCAACCAATCGCGAACAACCTTCTCACCGTCCCGTCAGATCGTCGTCTGCGATCTGACGAGGATCCGGTCGTAGCGGATATCATGGCGTCGCGGCGTCGTAACGAGATGCAATATCCCGAGTCGTCCGGAAGACGTGCGGTTGCGGGTGAGGTGGAAAGGAATCAACGCGCGGTCGGTCCACTCGAAAACGGACGAACCGTGCAATCGAACAGACCACAAATGGATGCCAACAAGCGCAACATGCCCAACAGACTCGACGACAATATTAGCCGCAAACGAGACGACGACAACATGGTCCGTAAAAGAGATGACGACCATATTAACCGCAGAAGAGACAACGACCGGGATGCCGATCTTCGTCAACCCGGACACCTGCAACGTCAGGTACATGGTTCGTCGTCGGGCACGACGCCTGCCCAGCACTCGAACACGACGGCCGGGCCTAGGAACGCAGTGAATGACCAACAGCAACCCGGCTACGAACCGTTCGAAAAGCGGACGAACGGACTTCAAGACGGCGGCAGACGTTATGTCCGCGAGTGGAATGTAACGAACGACTGTCGGGGATGCGCCAACGTAAACGTGAAAAAAAACGTGGCGGAGAGGTCAGAAGTATGTGGCTCTGACGGCCACGACCACAACGGTGGACAATCGAACGACGTCGGGAAGAAACGGCATTCGGTTTCAAAACGGAGATTGGAGTCTGTGGCCGAGGCGACGGAAACTTCGAAGCAGCAGCAGCAGCAGCCTCAACAGGAGTCCAACTACGTGGGTGGATGTCTGTTCAGCGACTCGTTCAATCGCAACAAGAAACCTTCGCAAAGGTACGGAGAACGCGCCGAGTACGGTTACGGATACTACGACARCGATTCGAAAAAAGTGAACTTCTCGTCGAAACCCGACAGCCGGTACGATTACTATCGCAGCGAGCACGTGCCCAAAACTGGCGGTCACAGCCCCAGGGATGAGGATTGCACAGTGTTTGCGGATTGCGATTCCCATCACGGATCAACGGCGCAGCTTCCTTACTATTCGCACCTGGACAGCAAACGTACGTACGGCGGTGAAAGCGACAGGAAATGTACCACAGACATCACCGACGATTACGACGATGACGACGACGACGACGACGACGACGAGAGTCTCACCGACAGCCTGGAAGACGGGTCCAAGTACGAGGGATCGGCCGTGTCGTATTTCTTGGCGCTTGACGGCCAAAAGTCTGCGGTGACGTTCACTCTGAAGATGCCCGGCACWCTGGAGAGCCGACTTAACCGGCGCCAGAGTCTGCTCAAGAAGCACCTGCACGTGTCAACGACGGTCCGAAAGTCGGCGGCGGCAGTACGGGTTCGGACCCGACACAAGGGGTGTCAGACGCTGTGGACCGTCGAGAAGGGGGTTCAAGTGCAGCGGGGTTCCACGGCCAACATGGACGACCGCAAGGCGCTGGAGACGCTGCTGGCTGGGTTGGGGCGCAGCCACGTGTCCGACAACCAGATTCGGTTGGTCGGTGGCCGGAAGATGGTGTCAGAGGGCAACCAGACGGAACAACCGCCCGCGGACCGGCACACCCAGACTACTAGGGACGTGGCCGCGGGACGGGAAACGCCCGAATGCTGCGCGGTGGCCGGGAGACAGGGCAAGAATCAGGTGCATGCGATGAAAAAATTTTCCTCTGACAACGCTTTGATGGTGGGCGTGGTCAGGCAGAACAAGTACTGCAAGGGAAAAGAAGCTTTGGACGGTGCCAAAAACGATAAATTGCTCACGCTGTCCAAAGGTTGGATCAACTTTTACACGCTCAGGGCTGACAGTGCGGACGCGGAAGCACAAGGTATAATAAATATTATTAAGTCAAACTGTCGCTTTTCATTTGTATAGTCCATAATACAGTAAGTTATATACAGTAAAGAAGATCTTTTTAACATGCTTATATAAGATATAACTTTAAGCTAAAAGTATACATACGTTCAAATTATGAGTTTTGGAATTTTTAAAAACACTTTGAAGATTATATTTTCGAATAATTGAGATTTTTGTACCCCTTAATCCTGGGCCAATACAAACTAGTAGTTTATTAGATAGTAGTTTGAAACTATTATTTAAAAAAGTTTAAAAAATGAGTTCCCTTTTTACACTTAAAAAATGTAAATAAACCATAAGCGAAATGTCTGTAAATCAAATTAAAATTAATTATCTTTACTATAAAGTACAAAAATTATAATTATTTTGAAATCACTTACTATATTTTGATTTAGATACACAACAATTWAAAATCATCCGCTAAATATTTTCCAGTAGAGAGGTTCTTATTTTAAAAATGGAAGTTCGTATCACCACATGAGAACAGGAGTAACAGCAGGACACTCTTTAAGTAGTACATAAAATATCAGGAATTTTAAAATATGGTATTTAGACCTTAAGGTATTCTTAAAAAGTTAAAAATAACAATTTTAATGAGTATACTATTAAAAAGTACAATGGGAGCATGCTTAAAAATAATAAAAATCACCCTCTATATAATAAAGTTGGTATCGAAATTGACAAAAACTAGAATGAATGTTTTTGTTTTTTTAATAAAACGTTTAAACGACTGTATAATTTTTGTGAACTAATCATGAGTATGTTATATCATTTTAAATGTTTTATATTTTACTAACATCAAAACGGCTGATATTGGATATAATAATTTTAGATTAGATTTAATATTATATATATGCCTGCGTGACGTAAAAATGGTTTAAAATTTTTATCATTAATAATTTTGAAATCAATAAAATTTTAAAACATCGGTAGGTAGGTACATAAGACGCAACACTTTTGTTTTCTACTCTAGTAGAATTTAATGATAACGACGATGAGGTGAAAGCCGAAGATGACAGCCAACAATACACTGTACACGTGCAAGCCATCCCCGAACCTGCCGTGACATTGCCCGTGGTGCACGTTCCTCATCGCAATAATACTCATCTGCAATTGCCGAAGACGTGTGGTACTGCAGCTAAACATTTACCGAAACTTGTGCAAACGGAGACCAATAACAATCATCGTTKTCCGTCGCATTTAGGTGACGTTTAAAGTTTTATGCATTTATTTGTAAATATAGCTATATATGATGACATAATATTCATACAAGTTATTAGTTTGGTATACCAAATACGTGTTCAAAAAATRTTAAAAACAAGGAAAGTAAAATATATTATACGCGCCTACGTAGGGTGTACTTTCAATTTTATCCAGTGCTYRGCTTGGGGGAGGGAGACGCAGAGAGACGGTACCCCAACTAATTTWTCAGAAATTTTAACGCAYCCCTACTTTTAATTATAAGGGGAACTCAACGGACGCATCATAATTCCGTATTTTTTTTTTTAAATGCACGTGATAACATCATAATTATTTTTTATGTAAAAATTTGGATATTAAATAGTTAAAKAGATGTAGAAGAAAACTGTTGTCCRAAAAGGATAAAATTGGAAGATAGAAAGAACATTGGTATATATGATAAATTATGGAACTATTTAAATAAAGTTAAAATTAATTGCATGCCAAAATATCTTACTGTACAGAAGAGCATTTTTAAAGTTAGTTCAAAAGCATATAACCTATCTATTTTGTATATCTCATTCATTATAAGTCGTATCAAATTAATTTTTAGCTTAAAACATGTGCCATTGCAAATTTATAAGGTATATTTGAAAAAGTTAAAAAAAAAAACATCATAGGTTGAACCTTTTAACCTTTATCTCACAACTTATTTGATTTACATGTAKCAACAGAAAATGGTTGGTGTGTAAGTGTGGATGGTCCGAACAACATGCACATGAAGGTTTCATTACTACCAGATAAGGCAGGCATAAAAACATCGGAACATTTTGAGCCAAATGGTAATTGCATTTGCATAAAAGAGTATCATAGTTTTATTGAGTATTTAAAAAATGTTTAGACGAAAATAAACTAGATGCCAGGAGATTAGCTTTACAAAGGAAGACCAACTACATTCGCAAACCTTATAGAAATATGAAAAGAACACAATCAACGGTAAATCATAATATTTAAATTTTTTTCTAAACGAATATAGGAATTCTTGTTTAGCCTAGGGACATGTTCTCTGCAGATGTTTCACGAACAGAGTCTGCCTTGTCAGCCGAAAGCAAATATATTGAGACAATTGACACGCAACTACTAATCCACAAGGCTCGAAGGTATGGTTGGTCACATTTTAATCACGAGTTTATCATCATGAATCATGATTAATAGCGAATAATTATTTGAACAGGCGCTTAAGTCAAGAATGGGACACAAGAAATCAAAATAGAGGTTTAACTGAATCAGTTCAATTAGTCGTTACAGGAGATTCGGTTTCCAGTAGAACATCTCAACATTATGCGACTAGAGGACATCAGCATTGCTCATTCAGACGACAATCAAGAAGAATTTAATACATTTTTTATAAATTATTTATAATAATAATTACTATTTTATACATGTAGGTGAATTAGTTACTAACTAGAAAAACTTATAATTATTCACAATTACACATTTTTATATAATTCAAACTTTATAAATTGTCTTAAGAATTTAAGATATTTCATTAAATACGTTATTGTATCGTTATTATTCTTAGAATGAATGYATTTCATATAGAATCAATAACTAAAATTGTATTGTAGTATTAAAAATAATAAAATTATTGTTTTTTTTGTGAAAATGTATGTCAACAGTTATTCTTTATTACTCTTTGGGTTTTCCAATAGCAAATTTAATTTTCTTTTCTTGTGGTTCATCTTCTGATTCTTTCAGTACAGCTTTAGGTTGTGTCTTAGCGTATGCAGGAGTAATCCAATATGGATTATCAGCTGCATCTTGAGCATACTTTAAAATCGCCTCACGTGGATCTTGATCATCTTCTACTCGTTTGCTTAATCCCAAATTACGKATAACGTATGAACTAAGGGTGCTACCTGATGCAGCAACTCGACCACCTTGGCCAGACTTGATTGGTAAATCTGGCCTCTTTGATTTGACTGGATCTAATCTATCTTTGTCAATTCGTTTCTTCAATGATTTATTTCTGTCTTGTCTAAACATTGGTAGTGCATGAGGTGTTATGATTTGTTGTGTTGGTACCATTTCCATTTGTTTGGTTTTAGTATGGGCTTTCGAAGCACATAGCATTGCACCTCTTTGACTGTTTACTTTGTCATAGAATACTTTCACAGTTCCATCACCACAACCTGCGAATAACTGTTTAAGCTTAGGGTGCCAGTATACCTTTATGGAATGTGTTTCAGAAACTTTAACTTTTTCAAAAAGTTCAAACGTATTGGTATTGTAAAACATTAAATGTCCTCCTTGTTCTTTGGGACGTACTGAATGACCAGTCACTACTATTGAATCATCTGGGCTAAAACAGCAGTCAGTTGTAGAATACCTATGTAATTTAAACAAAAAATATTATTTAGTAATTAATTTTAAAATTATTATATGATACTATGTTCATACAATTACATTAAACAATTTAAACAATCATACTGTTGACATACCTAGAATAGAGCCCATCAACTACATGTATAGGTTTCTTAAAGGCTCTAATGTCCCAAAGTTTCATTGTTTCATCAATACCTTCACCGCGAGTACATATTAATGTGTCTCTATAAGAAAACACAATAGAAGAGGTATCTGAATTATTTAAATGAGCATCTCGTATTGTAAACGTAGCGTTCACAAAACTTGGTTTTCTGGTGTCCCAAACAAGAATTGATCCATCCCTACACGCGCAAGCCACCAATTTGCCATCGTTACTATAATTGCAAGTAGTTGGTATTGTTCTCAATCCATTTTTGGCTCTACATTTAATTATGCTCTTATGTTTATCTTTTTTAGTCATATCCCAAATACGACAAGATCCATCTTCTGAACTGGTTAAAAATTCTTCTTTTTGCCTCGGATGCCATGTACCACAAGTCAGTGGAGATGTATGACCTTTAGTACGCACCTAATAAAAATAATTACCAATTTAATTTCATAGTATATGAATTGTTATAAATAATAGGTACTCTTTAAGTTTACTACCTACAACATAAGTTAATTTCATTAAGTATTCTACCAACAGATTCTAATATACTAATAAAAAATATTTTATATTACTTTATACATAATTTCAAGTTAAAAATTTTAAGTACGACTTTGTCAAAAATTCAAAATAATTGTTTATGCCAATTTTAAAAAAACTCCTCAAGCTCATCAATATTCCACATGGCAATGATCTCATGTTGCTACTACTTAAGTTGACTTTTTGATATTTTTTTCTTGATTCTATATATTTGTTTTCTCTACTATCATTATGACAATATATTATTTTATAACCTAACATAATACACTTACCGCAATTTAAGTTCCACAATAATCAAAAGTTACAATATTATATTAATTGTTTATAAAATGTTTTCAGTTTCAAAATATATATATATAGTTTGTTCTTAAATATAAAATAGAATAATTAATTATTTTTCCTATACTAAATTATCAAATATGTGTGTAACTGTAGGTATTAACATTGATTATACATACTATAAAACATGGTATTAGGTAGAGTACTTAAAACAAAAATATGTTATGTAGGTAGCATATTTAATGATTATCTAATAATATTATGAATCAATTACCATATCTGAAATGTACTGGTCACCTTTGACGCATTCCCAAAGTTCATGACCATCTCTATCTAATACTTTAGCTTGAGACATTCCAGAAATTACTAAAAGGCGGTCTCCAGTAGGTGAGTATTTTAAAAATTTGATTGGATGGTTGCCACAAGGAGTTAGAGTTCGGAAACTCTGTAGTGTTTGATCCATACCAGCAAAATCCCAAAGTCTCACGTCATAGTCAACAGAACCACTAGCCAACCTGACTCCTGGAGGATCTATACAAAGTGCAGAGACTGCTTTGGTACCGTGATTTAAAGATACTTGACTTTCTATTGGAATTTTTCTCTGTTTCGAATCATCATCATCATCATCATCGTCGTCATCATCATTATCGCTGCTATCATTGTCATCATCACTTTTGTCTTTAGTACGAGTCATTTTTTCAACTTCTTTATTTACCATGTTATGATCATCTGTAAATGTATTTTGTGTACTTTTTTCCGATAGTTTTAATTCATCGGGTATAGGTGGCCCAATATAATYGTCTTCATCTTCTTCATCGTTTATTTCATTATTTTGGTTGTCAGCCATTATAAAATTTCAAATACAATCTGAAATCATATGAACAGTTAACATATAAGTCATATTAGATACTTTAAATTTTTAATGAAAAATWGAGATTCTTCTTTACAGAAACATATTATATTATACTATTAATTTGATGAATTTGCAAAATTAAATGTATATACATTTACCTTAAACTTACAAATATTTTATCAGAGTTAATAAAGTTCACTTTAAAATTATTTATTAATTTTGTAATAATTCATAGACAATTCTAGACATTGTTTAACTGAAGTTAATAATATAAAAATTCTTTGAAATATATGTACCTACATTGTAGAATGAAGTTAACATTTTACATTTAAAATAGATAGGTATAAGTCAGCGGCATATTTAGCAATATCTTATAAGAGAGGGGGACAACAATATGAATAATTATATTCACAAACAAAAAATTCAAATAATACATAGTTATAAATCATAATCCATATTTTATCTCAAAGTTATGAAATAAAAAAGCATATAATAAGGTGAATGAGTAGGGCACAGTTGGAACAAATTCACAAAATATTATTTATATTACAATAAAGCCGAATTTGGCTCGAAGAAAATATACAATCTATATTGTAGGTTGAGATGACAAAATGATTATKGGTTATTTAATTTGAGGGAATAAGCCACTCAGTAATGACATTTTCAGTTTGATTTAATTAATAAATGTTAAATAATAATTGCATGAACATTAGTATACAGTAGACAGTTGTAATGAGTATTACTAAAATTCATTTTATAAATACATCCAAGTTTATTTATACTAAATTATACTATATATGTAAGTTTAGCTATATTATTTAACAATAACGTCAATAACAATTCACTTAAGATGATATATCATCAAACTAAAATAGTTACTAAAGTCTCAATAGTMAATACTTACTAAAATACTAAATAACAATTAACTAAAACTTATAAGCTTATTATTAGATAGGTTTAAATCTTGAAACTTGAAATTTCATATCTTCAATCTTGTATTATGATTTTCTTATCATTAAAGTACTAACAATAAATTATTATATAAATATTAAATATCAACAATCTCGTTCTGTCTTATCATAGAACAAAATTGACGATCTGATATAATTGAACTRATATAATTAAAAATTGTCAATCGCTTAGTAATTAGTATGATTTARGATATTTTTCAATAATTTGTTAARCAAATAACTTATATATCAAGTAATTATAATTATTTAAATTTTAATAATRTTTATTTCATTTTTGTATAAGAATGATGTTAGTAACATTTACCAAAACCTAACCTAAGAATGAATCATGTAAAATGAAAAATAATTTGCCGTCTTGCCGATCCTTTTTGATTGATGAAAAAATCTAATCTACTTTCTAGTTTCTACTAGTGAACAAAAGTGTAAAATAAAAGTATACTTTTTTAAAACCTATTTAGTATTTGTTGAATTGCCKGAAACTCGTAAGTATGATCTAAGCTTAATTATTCCAATAATTCAATCAGTAAATGAAACCGTAATTGATTTTTGGCATATTGAAGATTTACGATTACCTATCAATCAGTTAGCAATGTAATATGGGCTTATAATGAATAATAACTACCTATAAGTTTTGACTATGTAAACTAGTTATATTTACTTAAAATGTCGTCTATTGATCAAATACATGTATATGATAATATTAGTGTAGATTAGAGAATAGAGAGCTTAGACATATACAGTACCTACTACTGAGATATTCTGTAGAATTGTGTTCTAACAATTTATGTGTTWATGCCTGTATTCTTTTATATTTTATTGAGACGTTCTCGTGCGAATTGAGTTTATTTCAAAGTCAAACTATACACTATTTGGACGAGACATAATACCCAAAATATTAACTGAATATGCCGTTGACTATGTTGAAATCGCATAATTAAATCTTATCAATTATAARTCGGTAGATATGATTATTTTATTAGTTTTTATAAAATATTATTTTTATCCATTTATTGACAAAAGATATTTAATAAAATATAATATAATATTAGTGTGAATAGAACATAAGTTGCTCATTATATCTTACCCATTGTGTAATGATTTTTATTCTCTCATTCAACTGATAGTACATTACCATCTCAAACTAAAATAATACATTATTGAAATTAAAACGATTAGTGATAATCATTTACTGAACTAAATTAACATTAACTACCTATGATTTTACTACTATTTTACTCTCAGAAACRATTAACATAAATCATGGTTAACTTGGTTCAAAGAAAAATTATTATAGACAGACATTTTTATTCTAAAGCCCAAATACCTATCTTTGAATACTTTTTACTGAGATACAAGATTCTTGCTATACTTTATATTGTGTTATTGGATAGAAAATAGAAATAAGAAGTAATGAGCTATGTGTAGCGATTCTACTCAATTTATATTCTGTAGTTTCGCTACTATATTATATGTTATACCGTGTGTTCAATTTTAAAGGTAACAGGAAATATTTCGAACGCATGACCTTGAATTTGATTCAGATTTCTTACAAGATACAGGACATATAAATACATATTTTTTTGATAAATTTAAATTTTTAACTTTTTTTTATCTGCGCATGCTCAGTAAAATGAAAATTTCTTAAATAGGAACCATTATTTTTGACACTGGATTTGGATTGCTYTATTTTTTTTGAGCAACTTTGATCTTTACAGGTTGTTGATATCTTCAAAATTGCCATTTTTATGACGGTCAAAAGTTTTAAATCTGTTAATTCGTAAATATCGCATTTTTCAACAAATAAATTATAACGATATTTTTTTATAAATTCTATGTAATAATAAATACATATTGTAGTTTTAATAAAAATAAATTGTTATAATAATACCTATAAATGTGTAATTAAGATAGAGCGTTGAAAAATGTGATATATTTATGAATTAACTGATTTAAAACTTTCGACCATCATAAAAAATGTCAATTTTGAAGATATCAACAAACTGTAAAGATCAAAGTTGCTCAAAAAAAATAGAGTAATCCAAATCCAGTGTCAAAAATAATGGTTCCTATTTAAGAAATTTTCATTTTACTGCGCTTGCGCAGATAAAAAAAAGTTTAAAATTTAAAATTTATCAAAAAAATATGTATTTATATGTCCTGTATCCTGTAAAAAAAAACCCAAATCAAATTCAAGGTCATGCGTTCGAAATATTTCCTGTTACCTTTAAAATTGAACACACGGTATACTAGTGAAATACTTATGCGATAGAATTTTTGGTTAGCGTAGTAAAAATTACCATTATTTTTTGCTATCTTCAACTAGATAATTTGTTTATAGTTAAAATTGTATGATTCATTTATTTATACTATAACTATGATGAGTATATTAGTGAATTTTTCAGTTTTAATACACAATTAACTCGCTTAACTTAATCTTGTCCAATGACCAAATGTTATATCGGTACTAACTATAAATTACCAATTTTCAATCGAAACATTTAAAAAAAAAAGTAATGATARCATTAGCGAGCTACTTTTTTAAGAGTAGCTGGCTGTAGTGTTAGAGTCCTATAAAAAAGTAATAGGTATCCCGACTACTGATAGAAACTATGTTTTTTTAATCTCTAGTATTATATTTACCATATATCACCTAAACTATAACTGTTTTYACTATTTTAATTTGTTATGTATTATAATAGATTTGAAGAGTATGGCCGCTCAACTATTCAATCGAATTGGTCAATTGGGTCTTGGTCTTGCAGTAGCTGGAAGTGTAGCTAATACAGCATTATATAATGTTGATGGCGGTCATCGAGCTGTCATATTTGACAGATTCACAGGAATAAAGAATACTGTAGTTGGAGAAGGAACACATTTTTTAATCCCCTGGGTACAGAAGCCAATCATTTTTGATGTTCGCTCACGCCCCAGAAATGTTCCTGTCATCACTGGTAGCAAAGATTTGCAAAATGTTAACATCACCCTCAGAATATTGTTTAGACCTCTTCCAGAACAATTGCCAAAAATATACACTATCTTAGGTGTAGATTATGATGAACGTGTTTTRCCATCTATCACCACTGAAGTGTTAAAGGCTGTAGTGGCACAGTTTGATGCTGGTGAACTAATTACCCAGAGAGAAAATGTTTCACGTAAAGTAAATAAAAATGATTATGAATGTTAATATTTTTTTATATGACCTTAATAACTTATTTTAATATYAGGTTAGTGAGACTCTTATTGAACGTGCTGGACAGTTTGGTGTTGTATTAGACGATATTTCAATTACCCATTTAACATTTGGTAAGGAGTTCACTCAAGCCGTTGAATTGAAACAAGTGGCTCAACAAGATGCAGAAAGAGCAAGATTTTTGGTAGAAAAAGCAGAACAACAGAAACAAGCTTCTATTATTTCTGCCCAAGGTGATTCAGAAGCTGCGTCGATGTTGGCAAAATCATTTGGTGATGCAGGTGAAGGTTTGGTTGAATTAAGAAGAATTGAAGCCGCAGAAGATATAGCTTACCAACTATCAAGATCTAGACAAGTCTCATATTTACCCCCCGGACAAAACATTCTTCTTAATTTACCKACACAATAAATTCCAATAATGTATTTAGAATCTATTTAGACAGTTATGATTTTTTTTTCACAGTGTAATATACATACCAGCTTTACATTAATTCTTTAATTTTTTTTTATTATAATATATGAAATATGATTTTGTTGCAATATAATCATAGTTATATAGGAATGGGAACTCAAAAACCAATTTTTTTTCTTATTTTTTAGAAATACCAAAACAAATGCTTCAAGAGTCTAAATATTTTTTTTTATTTATCTCAAAGCGAAAGGCTAAAAATATATTGTTAGTGAAACAAGGCTATGTGTCATAAAGTCATCAGAGTTGTCATCTTATATTTCATTTTTAAATTAAATAAATACAAAAAAAAAAATACAGTTTTTTCTTTTTATATAAAATAAAAAATATTACACATTTTTTATGAAAAGTTATTAAAATTTGTTTTAATATATATAATAATATAATTTATAATACAACTCTTAGAAATTAAAAACAAACAATTAAATAAGTTTTATAAACAAAAATTAAAAACAAAATCTTATGATCTATTTAATAAATTAGAAAAATTCATCTAGGGAAAGTAAACATATTTCTTCGATATTATTTTGTATGTAATGCTGTTGCTTTCTCTGAATAGACTAGAATAGGTTTTTGACGGCCAATGTCTGGTTTATAAATAAATAACCAAAAATAAATAAAATATATGTAGGGGAGTACATATACTGTATTGTATTATTATATATTTTATTTCTTCCCCAAAAACTCGACCATCTGGTTGTATTGAGTCTCGTCCGTTAATATTTGAAGAGACTCCAAACAAGCCTTAAAGTATACCGTGTTAAAGCATGAAGATCTGTAAAAMAAAAAAAAAACTTAAGTAAATATGACTATTGGYAAATACATGGTGTCCCGCGAGGATTTACCTATTGCAATATCTCACRAAWTAATAGAGGTATTAAAGTTTTAGTTTTGTTATAAGACTCACAGGAACAAGAACTACAATTATTTAAGTTTTTAATTTATTTTAATGTTAAGGTAAAAAATTTAAAAAATATATTTTTTTTTTAATTATTTCAAAAAAAATTAAAGATAGCCATTTTGTAGTTTATTTATCTGAAAATATTGACGTTTCAAAATTTTATTTTCTGATTTTTAATATTTTTTCTAATTTTGAAGAAATAAAATATGATAATAACTAGGCACATTGTTTCACATGTTTGATAACACTATGTGCAATAATTCGCAATTTATCTCGAAACATAAAAAAAATTGAAATCAGGAAGAAAATAAAATAAAATTTTAAAACGTCAATATTTTCAGAAAAATAAACTACAAAATGGGTATAGTGAATTTTTTTGAAAATAATTAAATAAAAATATATATTTTTAAACTTCTTAACCAAAACATTAAAATAAGTTAAAATACGAAATAATTGTAGTTCTTATCCCTGCGGGTGTTATTATAAAACCAGAATTTTTATGTCTCCATTATTTCAGAAGATATCGCAACGAGTAAATCCTCACGGGACATCTGTATAGTGATTATATTTATCCAATAAATGTTATGTAATAATACTATTATTTATATTAGTAAATTATCAATATTGGTGTTAAGGGTACAAAATACAAAAGTGGTAAAAACAGAGCCATTGTTTTTTAATGTTTATTAAAACAAAAGGAAAATGTAAAAATAAAACAATCTGTATCACTTTTGCAAACAAAATGAGATAAAGAAAAATTAAGATGAATTATGTTGTGCAATCAATTCCCTGCCACCCTTACAAAATAATAATRAAAATTATACCACAATATAATTTGTATGTAAATACTTGGACTCTTAGTTTTTATCATGAGTWTTTTTTTGGCCAATTTCCGATAATAGTTATRGACGCTGGCTATGAAACTATGAATAGTTTTAAGATTATTGACTGACATATAATTYCTCGCAAACGGTTTAATGCTACCATTCAATATATTGTGTGTTTTATGATATAATCKTTTTATAAATTGTTTTGTTGTAATTCTAAACATCAAAGTTCAGCATTTCACGTATTTCCACACGTCGTTGGTTTTTTCTATTAGTCCACTTCGTTTGCGAAATAGTAAACAAAACCTATAGAAATGTTATTCATTTGTATGTTAACCGACTACCGACCTATTTAAGTAGCCTAGAAAACACATCGTCTATTTTAATGATCGYATTAGTCCTAAGTCATTTCCATAGGGTTTGGATGTTGTTAAAAAATTTTAAATCCTCTGATTTATTATTATGGGTAAGAGCAAGCTGCAAGGTCATCTTGAATAAAACGAGTCCGTGGTGTATACAAACTTAATGCAACAATTATTTTTTGCAATTAAACGAGTTATATTTGTTGTACATAATTTCCTACTTTATGATATGGGCACAACTTTTTGAAACTTGTAATAGTTAATATACAATCTACCACGAAAACTTRAAAACGGTATATTATCATACTGTTTTTTATAATGCATGGTTAGTATGTAGGTAATCTATTAAACTATTAAAGTATTTTGCAGCCTTTTTTATAYTTCAAAACGTTTTATTATTCAGAAGAAATTTAATGCGTTAAATATTTAAAATAAAAAAACAAACAAATATATCCAAAAATATCGATTCTACATTTAAGTACAACCTCATCCGAACCCTAAATTGTATGACGCCTACGTATTATCCATCGTGCAGGCGAAGACGTGAAAAGGAAGGATAGGATTGATGGAACGTAAAAATAATAAATAGGCGATGTTAGTAAATAATAACAATAACAATAATAATGATAAAAAAAAATACCTAAGCCCCAACCCCGACAGGATCAGCCCCGTGCAACTGTTTAATCCACTTCTGTATTTTTTCCACTTCGTCTTCAAGCAGGAGCACGTCCAGACATCCTTTGAAAAAATCTGTCGTGAAGCAATTTTTCCTGCAAAACCAACTTATTGTTAGGTATAATTGACACCGTCGACGAAACGCGTCGAGGGCTAGTGGTTTTTTCGGGGAGTGGGAGGGGAAAACGTTCACGTGGATTTATAAAAATAAAAAAACCAAATAAAATTCAAAACATCACGCCCGTCGAATCGTGCGATCGTTATAATATGTAYTGATGAAATCGATTCCAAAAATATCAACGCATTTGGACGCGGCCGATAGACAGTGCTCGAATTGACGACGYGGGGTACGGAATCCTATAGGTATCTTATATTTTTATAAATTGTGTTTATGCGTACGTACTTTTTCTTATTATATGATAATCGAAGAGACGTTTAAGTATCATTTAGGTAGGCAACATTTTTTTTCTTCACCCTTTRGCATCCTTCTTTTAACTCTTTCCTAAATCGAGTACCTACTGCATGCAAATAATTATTTATCGTGCGTTGCTTGCGGCACAGTGACCACTTGCGGCGGACGACGATAATGTCCTTTCAGGCACTCGGCTCGCTGGGGATATGRCACATGAAGTATATACCAAGTTACCGAATAATATATACCACGTATACCGCGGTATGCGGTTCGCGGAGAATATTATGTCTTCGAAAATGAGTTTTTTCGCTATAAGATGCTCGTCGAGTGCAAGACCAGCAACAGCTGCTGCTGTCGTCCCGCTGCAATTGTCACGATTTATTATTATTAATATATTATATGAAACAAAACGGACGCACGCGATTTATTATAAAGGTATGTACACCGTTATTTATTATTATATATTATATTATTTTCTCTAGATACCGGACCGTATCACGTGATATAACACATTTAATTTRCGGTTAGCGACGCCTGTTGAACGGACAGGAAGTGGGTAGGTATATAATTATGTACATCCGAGAAAACACCAGATTCCTGATAYARTCATATAGAAGGTCGATTAATCGGTTAGCACGTTATAGTTTTGGGAGTACCACTGGGGCACCAGAAGAGACTTCAATCATTGACATAGTACATCGGAGTTAAATTCTGCAGCATATCTCTTAACACAGTACCCACTCCTGCTCCTACTTATATAAAATATATAATGCGAAAAACGTTTATTTTTTTCAGTAGGTAGATATTTAACTGTCGCGTTTTAGAGTAAAAAATTTACTGGATACTGGATTTACTGGACTTATCTCGGTACAATATTTTATCATGATAATATTGATTAAGACGCAAATTGTGCATGTTATATAAAGCGAGCGTTATCGCGAAATTTCATAACAACATAACATTATTAGGTTTGTTCCTAGTGAAAATAGCGAACCGGTTTTAGTAATGAAAAAAAAAACGGCTTCTGAAAAACGCGAACGGTGACGACGCGGCGGCGCGTAAACCGTGTGCAGACCTGGACTGGCCAAAAATAGTTATTGGGTGAGCGACCAGTGTGGGTGGTGCGCTTAAAGGGTGACGGTCACGTGGAACGTTTGGGTGGGGTGGGAGGGCGATGCGAACCTGCACAGTGAGTGGAGCTGTGGTTCCCGGAACAGGTTGTAACAGTCCTCGCACACCCTGTCCAGTCGGGCGAATATCGTCTTGTCGTACACGCCCTTGCACTGAATGTCGAAGAACGATCGCTTGCTTAGCGGATGGTCGATTCCCGACAATGACGGCGACGACGACCCGGCCGCGCCGCTGCTCGACATCATCCGATGATGGCCTCCTGAGTGGTGGTGCAGGTGGTGAGCGGCCGGCACGGCGACCACGGACACGGCCATTATCGCCATCAGCGTGGCCACCAGCACTAGTGCGGGTTCGTAGCCCATCACACTGTATTTCGACATCTATGCAAAACAAAATGAAAAATTTAACCATTAGACAAATGCTAACAAACGATAAACAATTGTAATATATAGTTATAATTTAAAGGCACGTCAAACATATTCATAATATAGACAAACATATTTAAGCATAAAATGCGTGGCCACCGTTGGCCAGTAGTCAATATTATATCATATGGATCAATATCGAGAGTAGTATATATTATAATATGCGTTGACGGACACTATTAATCTAATRSCCGCGGATGAGTTACGGATGTGTTRATGTCGCGGTCCACAGGATTAGTGCGATAAAGCTGCGCAGGACGTCTATAGGAACCACACAAATACGATGTGTGTTAAGAAAAACGTTTCCTATTTGTATTTTATACGCAGCCATTCATTTTTTTGACTAGTGTGCTGTGCGCATCAGTACACGGCTTTTTAAAAGATGTACCTAGCGTTATTTTTACGAATTAAAAATCGCCTACAAATTCGGTCGGGCTCTGTTCGATAATCTTATTRTCCTATATAGCACTGCGACCTCACTGCAAGAATACAAAACCCTCAGTCAACAGCATTTTGAATTATACTAAGTCGGACGTAAATATGTAGATACAGACAACACTCAACCAAACAGACGTACGGTTAGGTTACACGTAGACACACGTACAACGTATACAGAGCGCTTCGATGACATGTTAGACGCGCCACCGAGGAGCATAATATAATATTATAAACGTGCACTATTAAAAAAATAATATATTTACACGCGATGAAAAAAGCTACAACTTGTACAAATAACGAAATTTCTATGAATATATTGCTCTATCACTGCCAAATTTTTTCATTGCGCAATTTTTCGCGTAGACTCTGACGCCGCCCGACGACGGAACCTCTATACATACAAATACACACACACCTACAACATAATAATATTATTATACATGAAATATGCACGCGACTTAATATCATAAATATTTACACGATCACGAAGCCCACAACTGTGATGTTTATATACCGCCGCACTGTATGGGCTGATGACGGTCAATTATAAACTTTAATTATTATACACAACAAACGGTTCTGGATTTTCGTCAACAGCTCTGGCACAGGACACAGTGCACGCGTATACTAATACGTATAGCTAATATTATGCTACCTATATAGGAGTCTAAATATTCTGTGATTTTATATACTGTATATTAAATCGTGTAGACTTGACATCACGACTAAGACGAACGGTTCAGGAAGATGTTAATAATATAATATATCATTATATATTTATCATCTGCATCGATTTAATATTATGTTATAAGGCTCATATATGTTATACAATATACATATATACATTGTATAATATTTTTAATTGGTTCATTCGTTAAATATTGTATACCAGTTGCAGAGCGCCAGGCTAAGATTTATCAGAGGGTGCAGTATATAATATTAAAATGTCTACAATTCACATCATATTTGACGTTTACAAGTACAGTATATTATATATATAGGTGTGTACATGGTAGGTGGACGAGGGAATAATAATAATAATTTATTGTTCTTACGCCAATGTCACCTCGGCAGAGCGACGCACGCGTCATCGTCACACATACAGATATAGGTGTATAGAGCGGGTAGGTACGACTGCATCACCGCCGCGCCATAATAAAACCTATCTAAATATATTATATATATACCGTATATATCGCGTGTGTTAAGGTTTGTATATACCACCTATATATGCATATAATATTATTAATATATAAGATTGCGTTTGCGTTTTTTTTTTTTTTTACTTGTTCAGCTTTCGTGTACATTTAGGTAATATAATAATTATTACGATATTCGAATCGAGGTCACAAATTGAATTCTACTTACGGTACATGATACGATTAACTTTATTATACTATTCAACAGAGTACAGACTGATTGACATAACTACCTTCCAATTCCAGCTACACGATTTTATATTATACTATATACACGTCGTTTATTATTATTATTTTATCTCTCATTTTCGACTTAAAGTGCTCCAAAAACATAATATAATATTATGCAGTTATTTGATGAAGATTTTTTATTTATTTATTTATATTTTTTAAAACAAACKATTTGTATATATGTTATTGCGTAAACGCGTGACCGCATTTGATTCCAAGAAAAACTCTATAGTTATTTAATATTATAATATTATGTTCGTCTTTTCGGTCGCATTGGTCAGCCCATCGACCATCGTCAAAACTCATTTGCGTCAGTTTTATCGACAGACTGCAATAGTTCTGGTACAGGAGCTGTGAAATTTATCTAGGTTAAAAAAATGTAAAAGTTATAACTACACCATCGATCCACATACCTCGTATATACTCGTCGTATTGAACCGTGTTTACGGTTTTAAATGTTTTTCATGCGCGAATTGGTTAGGTGTTAATTGCCTTATTTAATCATTTTAGTTGATTTATTCACGCCAAACTCATACATATAGTATCTACCTGACTACATATGTTATTATATCATACTTGTAGCTAATTACTATTTTTTTAATGGTAATAGATATATCAATGCACAGCATATTATAATAATAATATATTCGTCGTTTTCTCGTAAAACGATTAAATGTAATACTTAAAGTGCACATATTCCCTTACATAAAAAAATAATATTATTGGGATTATATGTTTAGAAATATACCGCCTATTAAAAAACGCTATATAATATTATAATTTTATAAATAAATAAATATATTATTTATTATTACACATTTCACATATGTTATCCTTACGCGTTGAAGTTGAATATACTTTGAAATTAATTTCGATTTGTGCGCGCCTATATATCACTGTTTCTGTCAAAGCTGTTTGTTTCTATCCGAATAAATTTCGTTTATTTCACGGTGTACTTTTGGATTTATGCGAGTCGTAATAGTGTATAAATACTAGATACTTACATTTTTATTTCTATGAAACAAAATGTATATAAAACAAGACAAACTGTGTAAGACGATAATTGATTGCGCGTTTTTTCTATGGTGTAATATAATGAATAATGACTATGTGAGAGAAAAAAACTTGTGTTGGATCCAAGAAAAAAAATCGCATTACAATATTATATATACGATTCGGATGATAAATACACACAGGAACTTTCTGTTTTCTTCTTTGGCGCGTGCAGCATACATGCAATAAAAGTTTTAGCCGGTCGCAAAATTCACTTACGACCTCGAATATCCCGTTCGTGTATTTAATGGCAATAAAAATTGCGCTGTTTCGCGAAAACGCAATTAAGACTAGCGTGGATGGCCATATATTTTTGTATTTATAATATGTCTTTGTATCAATGAACACGCAACACTTATATATAACTTTATATGCTTATGGTCTTCTACTAATGTAGATTTAAAATCGATTAAACGATTATACGATGCGTGCAGTGCAGTCGGCGGATGAGTGACCGGAGGAGGATTAGCGTGTTAATTTTACTACAGAATTTTCTTCGGGAGGCCCGTGTATGAGCGGAAGAGACCTTGGACAGTTTGCAGACCGCGATAAAAACCCGAATATAAAAATTACAACAAGCAGATACACTTATTATTATTTTAGTTCATGAAATTACCCATCGAAATCGTAATGATATGTACACATAAGGTTACACAAGGCATTGGTACCCGTACATTATAACAACAAAAATAATAGGTACCTTTATAATAAAATATATTTTCTGCCGATCGGCACACTTCGTCGTCGTAGTTGTATATATTAAAGTCATCATAACTCATTTCATTATGTGCGACAGGCTGGAAGGGCCACCCTAGAACTGTGCAGTCTTATATTATATTACACACGACGCAAATTATATACGTAGGACACGCGCGTCTAAGAAAATTTGAACAATTATTAACTATTGTATAGTCAAGCAGTGATGAAATTAAAATATACAATTAAATTGAAAAATTGCACCTCTTTGAAAAATGACTACACAAGATACTTTAGGTCTCCACAATAAACACGTGATTCACAAATAGCAACACACACACACAGTACACACACATATATATATATATTGATATTGATATATTATACACATTATATCACGTGCGTTCGGCGTCGACTCGTGTTTGGAATATAAGTCGGCAATCATAAGTACCTCATCACAATAATGGGTCCCCTGTTTTTTGCTCTGTCTCTGCGTCTCAATTGATATCGCCTCGAGAATCGGGCCGCCTTGACCTAGATCGGAAGACACACATTCCGYGGGGGGCACACGGTCGTCCGCAGTAGACGAAAAACAAAAAACACCGGAAGGGTCACCGACCTGGTATATATATAGGTACGAGGAAAGGCGGAAACGCGTCGCGTAGAGCAGAGATTCGGTCACGTCACTTTTGTCACCGACGACAGGTGACGAGGTATAATTACCACATACGGCGAGCTCTGCAGTGATAGGATTTTTCGTATGAATTCAAAATACGTCTCGCAAAATGTGCGACATGATAGCATTATTTTTGTACTTATATAATATAATATTATGGGCATCCGTCCCGTGATTTCAAAATTATTATTATTATTGTGCGATGTGATAAGCGTAATATAATATTTGGTTTGCGGACGGAAACCAACGATGCACAATGATTATACCTAATATAATAATAGTGTATTGTATACACATATGGAATGGCTGAAAGTGTGAGTAATACGCGCGACGTTATATTATTATTATTATTATCAATTATAAACTTTATACACACTTGGGCATGGCACGCACTCACGTACACTGGCTATATATATTATCTCTGTACATATTGATAACCCGTACCGACACGTCTTCAAAGGATCGGTCCAACGGATTGCCGAAAACTGCCAACGCTCGCGCTTTATAGAAATGCACATGCGAAATGATAATAATATAACAATCTTTTATGGTTCACTAATTACTAGGCGTCATACACCATTTGCGCAGTATTAAAATATAATTATTAAACATTAATACATTACACTGATGACCCTTGGAGTTCGCTAAAGAAATTATAATAT